TTTTTTTTTTTTTTTTTTTTCTTGAGTAAATATTTTATCATAAATAATCAGTTTTCTTTCTCACCTTCATTTCTTAAGTTCTCATGTCTCCATGGAAAGGGAAATTAATTGTTCAAGACCGTATGTTATGTGATATAGCTCTTCGGTCCACTTATGGTACAGCGATTCCAACACAGCTGTAAGTATTCAATGTTATGTCCTTTACTAATGCTTGTAGTACAAGTTTTGGGTCTGGCCCCCCGCCATTTCAAGGTCTTTATGGGTGGCATTGGTGTAAAATACAGCAACTCTTCTTGATTTTAGATGAGGGTACCTTTGGGTAGATGTATAGCACAAAGGGTATGACATAGGCGACCTAAATTCTAATTTATTAATGGGAAATGACCTTTTGGGATAAGTTAAACTATATGATACTGGAAATTTGACCTTCCCCAAGAAATAAGTCAGATTTGTCTAACAGCAAATATAGCAGATTATAGCCACTTAATCATATTATTTTTATTAACATTTGCAGTATCTGATTTTGTAATTTTAACATGATTCTCTAAGAAAAATATTAAATAGAGTAGCTGGTACATGTATTTACATTAGAAGCAATTATCATAATGAATATTTTCTCCTTGGAAACTGAAGAACATCTTAAGAAATCTTTTTTGTTCAGCCTGTTCCTAGTTTGTACCCAAAACTATTAAGAAATAGTCATAGTTAATTGAAATAAAAGGTGAAAACTAATGTGTTGTAAGGATTCATTTTTCTTCCTTTCTTTATTTTTAAATAGAGAAATTCCTGGCAACTTTCATTTAACTTTTTTTTCCATTGGCCTTTTTAAAGAAGAAATGGGAGTGTAATAACCCACAACATAAAAATTATATGAATAAGTAAATAGGAGAGAAGGGAAACTTCTTCTTCCTCACTATTAGAAAATCACCATAATTGGTGATTTTTTTTTTTTCCCCCCACTGCCCATCAGGTGGGGGAACTCCGTTCTGCAGACATATGACCAGTCACATCAAAGGGCCAGGGTCAATATCAACCACTGCCATGACCTCACTTGTCCTCCCAATGTGAGGCAGGACTTATCCCCATTTTACAGAAATGGAAACTGAGGGACAGAGAGGCATTGAGGAGCCAAACACCATGCCTGGTAGACAACACCGTAATAATCAAACAGTATATGCTAAAATCCGTAGTTGAAAGGAATAATATTTGCATATCTTAGCAACATTTTCCCACTACTTGCTTATTAATCACAAAGGAAAAAATGCAGACTTACCAGTGGAGTAAACTGGCAGATACCATCTTAACTAAGTGGTTAATGATAGACTTATCCTGATTAAGCAGCATTCTGTAAAATTGTCTGTATTTTTCAAAATATCCAAGTCATTTAAGTAAAGAAAGACTAAAAACCGGTTCCAGATTAAACGAGACTAAAGAGATGTGATTACTGAATGCATTGTAGCATCTTGGATTGGAAATTGTTTTCTTTTTCTGTGAGGGAACTTAGTGAGACAGTTGGCAGCATTTTAATTTGATGTAGGTTAAGTCACAGTATCATAACGTTGTGAATGTGTTGATTTTGCATATTGCTTTGGGGTTATATAAGAAAATTTCCTAGGGGCCGGGTACAGTGGCTCGTGCTGGTAATCCTAGCACTTTAGGAAGCCACGGTGGGAGGATTGCTTGAGTCCAAGAGTTTGATACTAACTTGGGCAACATGGTGAAACCACATCTCTACTAAAAATACAAAAAATTTGCTGGGTGTGGTGGCACATGTCTGTGATCCCAGTTACTGGTGAGGCTGAGGCAGGAGAACTGCATGAACCTGGGAGGTGGAGGTTGCAATGAGCTGAGATCACCCCATTACCCTCCAGCCTGGGCAACAGAAGGAAACCTTATCTCAAAAAAAAAAAAAAAAAAGACAATTTCCTTTTTAAAGGAATCACACAGAGAGGTATGTCGTGTAAAAGGCATCAGGTTTGCATCTTACTCCCAAAAGGTTCAGAAAAAAATACCACATATGTATAGAGAGAATGACAAAGCAAACATGATACACTGTTAATATTTGGGAAATCTGGATGAAGGGTATTAAAAATTCTTTGTACTATTTTTGCAACTTTTGTATAAATTTGGAAGCATTTTAAAATGAGTTTTTAAAAAGGAAACAGAGGGCCAGGCCCAGTGGCTCACGCCTGTAATCCCAGCACTTTGGGAGGCCGAGGTGAGCAGATTGCCTGAAGTCAGGAGTTGGAGACCAGCCTGACCAATATGGTGAAACGCTGTCTCTACTAAAAATACAAAAATTAGCTGGGCATGGTGGCTCATGCCTATGATCCCAGCTACTTGGGAGGCTGAGGCAGGGTAATTGCTTGAACCTCAGAGGTTGCAGTGAGCTGAGATTGCACCACTGTACTCTAGCCTGGGTGACAGAGCCAGACTCTGTCTCAAAAAAAAGGGGAAAAAGTAGTCATGAAATAACTCTTAAATAGCATAATTTTTAAAAAATTCTTAACTCCTATATACATCAATTTTTGACACATCTGAATATTTTGTCTAACTGAAAACACGTATTCAGAAAATGTTAACGTATTTGCAGACCATGATTTATGGGTCATATATTTAAAAATCTGTACTACTTAAAAGTATATATGTTATTTAACCTGGAGTTTATCAATTTAAGGTCTTTTTGTGGTTATGTTTTTGTTTACATTTATATTAGAAAACCAAAACTTAACGAAAGTTTAGATCCACTGTTTATTATTCTGCTTGATATTGTTGTGTTGTTTTTTAGACCACAGGAACTAGATTTTAAATATGTAATGAAAGTGTCTTCCTTGAAAAAAAGACTACCAGAGGCTGCCTTTAGAAAACAGAATTACTTGGAGCAAAAAGGTCTGTTGAAATGTAATAGCACACTACTTACCCTGGGCTTTGTTCTGGTTATTTTCTGCTCTCTTCCAAACATTTACACAAACACACTTCTGTCTCATTATGTGGTTCTTAAAAGGGTCTTTCGTGAGAAAGTTGTAGAGTTACTAATTTCTTGAGTTCTTTGGAGGCCAACTAGAAACTAAAAGGTAGTTTCATCTAAGATGACAAAGACTAGCTTTAACATAGAAATACTGATGCAATTAAGCAAACAGATATTAAAAGCATTTGGAAACACTGTTCCTCTCGAGGAGAACAGAGATTTTGTTGGTTTTATTTATATATGTACTTTTAAACTCAAAGAAAAACCATGAGAAGGAAATTTCTTGGTCATTTAGGTTAAGTCATGGAACACTGATGTTTATTCATGTAGTATGTATTTGTCTTGTTAACCCTATAGCAGTGTCAGTATAAATAAGAGCAATTGTTTTAAAATAATTATTTTGATAACTTTTTATGAAGGAATTTTGTAACTAAGAACATTAAATGATAAAGGTTTTTGAGTAGTATTTCTGTTCTTTCATTTATGCAGCATATAAAATGAATAAATTGACTATAAGTACATAATAGTATAATAAAAATGAGATGTTTTTCTGGTTTTGTTTACAGTCTGTTTCCAAGATTTGTGCTTCAATTTGTATGAGGTGGAACTCTCCAACAGACAAGGGGAAAATATAGATAAACTAACAGAATGTATTAAAAACAAGCAATTGGTAAGAATCACTAATTTAAAATATAATTATTAAGTTTTTCTTAAATTGATATGTAAGCATTAGTTGTGCCTCAATAAAATGATTTAAATTTGCCGAAAGGCGTTTCGTGTTTAATATTTATTTGTATATTATTAATGTAATACAGTATCTGTGGGGTATATCCAAGACCCCCAGTGGATGCCTGAAACTATGGATAGTACTGAACCCTATGTATACTGTGTTTTTTTCTATACATACACACTTATGATAAAGCCTAATTTATAAATTAGGCACAGTAAGAGATTAACAATAATAGAATAGTTACAACAATATGCTATGATAAAAGTGATATGAGTGTAGTCTGTCCACCTCAAAATATTTTATTGCACCATACTTGAGTACTCCTTGTGATGATCGAGGTGGGTGGTGCAGGCATTATGAAGTACTACTATTGCCCTGCTGGGTGGGTAGCATCTACAGCATGGACTGGACAGAGGAATGATTCACATACTGGGCAGGATGGGGCAAGAAGCAAGAATACAAAATACTCCCTAAAGTCTGGCATGGTGGATCACACCTATAATCCCATTACTTTGGGAAGACAAGGTGGGAGGATTGCTTGAGGCCAAGAGTTTGAAACCAGCCTGAGCCAACATAGCAAGACCTTGTCTCTACCAAAATTTAAAAAAAAAAAAAATTTTTTTTTTAACTAGCCAGGGATAATTGCCAGCACCTGTAGTCCTGACTACTCAAAAGGCCGAAGTGGGAGGATAGCTTGAGCCCGGGAGTTCAAGGATGCAGTGAGCTGTTACTGTTCCACTGTACTGCAGGCTGGGTAACAGAGTGATAGCCTGTCTTTTAAAAAAGAAAAAAATAGGCCAGGTGTGTTGGCTCACATCTGTAATCCCAGCACTTTGGGAGGCCAAGGTGGGCAGATCATGAGGTCAGGAGATCGAGACTATCTGGCCAACGTGGTGAAACCCCCTCTTTGCTAAAGTACAAAAAATTAGCTGGGCCTGGTGGCACGCACCTTCAGTACTATCCACAGTTTCAGGCATCCACTGGGGATCTTGGAACATATACCCCACAGCTACTCGGGAGACAGGAATCTCTTGAACCCGGGAGGCGGAGATTGTAGTGCAGTGAGCCGAGAACACGCCACTGCACTCCAGCCTGGTGACAGAGTAAGACTCTGTCTCAAAAGAAAAAAGAAAGAAATAGACTCTTAAATTATAGTTCCCATGAGTCAAGGAGCTTGGGAGAGTATGGAGGAGACAAATAAGTAAACCATCACATGCCATAAAACGCATAGAGGCTCCCATAGAATCTTGTTGAAACTCAGCATAGTGATTCTTTTTGAGATATTAGTTTCATAACTTAATTGTAATGTAATAATTAGAAGTCTTATTTTGTATATTCATGTGATTAAATAATATATTGATTTATATGTATAGCCTTATCACCTATCAGTTTTGAATAAAATGTTTTGTTCTGTAAAATAGTATGTTTTGTTTAGGTTTTTTTTTTTTTTTTTTTTTTTTTAAAAATCATTGTATGAATATTGGATTTTTTCTTTTATGTATATATAGATTTTTGAAATGGTGAGCAGTGGAAAAGAAAAATTGTTAAATTCATGATTTAGAACAACAGGTTTTAGACAGCTGCTGCCTGGGGACAAAACTGCCCCAGTTACTGAAAACATTGACATTTCAAGACTTTTTCTTGAGCTCAAGAGAAGTCTTTTATTGGATGGTATCTTGCAGTCTTTCTAGTTTTAGGGTTTGGGGATAATGTTCATGTGAACATGAGCTTAATATACTACTTATATAAGTTTGATTCATCTTGAGTTTATAATGGTAACATGTTGGCTGTTGAGGCAGTGGCATGAAATGTCAGCTGTCTCAGTAAAAAAAAAAATAAGGCTCTTCTGATTGATCTGTCATGTTCTTGAGCACTATTCTAACACTAATCCTTCATGTTCTGGTTATTTTATATAGCCCCAACAGGACCAACATTATTTCAGCAAGTAACTTGCAGTTTCTGATACTGGGAACAGAATTCCCCTGATTCCCATAACATTTCCAGAATTTTTTCTTTTCTTGAGGTCAGAGTTCTTTAATGAGTATGGTAGAGGGAGGAGAGAGGGATTGCAGAATATTCTTTCATTTGAATTTTTTCTTTTATATTTAAGGCAATCATCAAATGCTTAGAAGATCGAGGGTTTTTCATTTTACTTACATCATCAGCCTTACTGTCAGAACCAGGTATAGACAACTGTTTTTGGAAAAAATATTTTTTATTATGTTTACTTTTGCTTTATAAGATCAACCTAACTTTTCTTCTGATTCTCATTCTGCATAGATTTTGGAGGCAAGCAGATGGGTCTGCATGGGTTACATTTATTCCATTCACCCCGGTCAGCAGGTGAGGATACAGTGATTTCCAGCTCACTCTGTCTGTTGGATATATTGAGTCGTCATCTGACTTGACTTCTCAGTAGCACATGACATTGTTAACCATATTTTCCTCTTAAGTGACTCTCTTCTCTTAACATGACTGGTTTACCCTTCTTGACCTCCCTTGTAGGTTTATGCTCACCTCTGAGCCTCAGTCCCATACCTCCACTTGTCTACTGATGTGGCCACTGAGATATCTCAAAGGTGCCTTAATTCAGCATGTCTAAAACTGAATTTGTCATTGAATTTCACCATCTTCTCTCCAATAAATACGGCTCAGGGTCTTAATAGGTGCTGGAGTATTTATTAGTCCTTTTCATATCAAGCCCATACATTCTTAAGGTGATGTTGATCCACCCAAAGGACCAAAACGTGGCTCTTAGTTGCAAAAAATTATTACTCATACAATGCATAAACAGATACACAGTGTATATGTGGTATTAAAATTTTGGATGGCAATATGGGGGAAAACATGGGTCAAAAAGAGCTGGGGAGGAGGATGACTAAAAAGATTGAGAATCACTAATCTAGCTTATTCCTCCTATCAGTTTCACTATCACTTTCTTATTCCCTTCACTACTCTTTGCCCAACTTAAACCCCGGTGCTTATTTATTATCTATTTAGTTTAAATTTTTATTTGTGTAATTATTTGATACTTACCCTTGTATTCTACTATCCCCAGTGCCTAGCAATGCCAGGCACCTATAAAATAATAAATATTTGCTAAACAAATAAATGATAGTTGGTCAGTCATAGCAGCTCACACTTGTAATCCCAGCACTCTGGGAGGCTGAGGCAGGTGGATTTCTTGAGCCCTGGTGGTCTGAGACCAGCCTAGGCAACATGGCAAGACTCTGTTTCTACAAAAAAAAAAAATAGAGAAAAATTAGCCTCATGTGGTGGCTTGCACCTGTGGTCCCATCTACTTGAGAGGCTCAGGTGGGAGGATTGCTTGAGCCCAGGATGCAGAGGTTACAGCGAGCCAAGATTGTGTCACTGCCCTCCAGCCTGGGCAACAGAGTGAGACCCTGTCTCAAAAAAAGGAAGTCACTTTATTTTATAATTACACTGTGAATGTTTAAACATAAAACTCGATATAGTATTCATAAAGCTATAATCAATATAAAAATGTTTTTAAGCTTTGTTTAAAAAATTCAATTACTGGCTGGGCTCAAACTTCCAGAGGCAGAGGGGGGCGGATCACAAGATCAGGAGATTGAGACCATCCTGGCCAACATGGTGAAACACCCCGTCTATTAAAATACAAAAAATTAACCAGAAGTGGTGTTGCATACCTGTAGTCCCAGCTACTCGGGAGGCTGAGGCAGGGGAATTGGTTGAACCCAGGAGGCAGAGATTGCAGTGAGCCGAGATCATGCCACTGCACTCTACCCTGGCGACAGAGTGAGACTCCGTCTCAAAACAAAAAAAATTCAGTTACTTAAAGCAGAAAGCTGAGCTTTCCTAGGCATCACTTCTTTGGAATAAGCAAAACATTACCCATGCTAATAACATAATTGGCAGTAGCTGTTTGCAATTTTCAAGCATTTATCATATCAGGTTTTGTGGTGGAAGTAACTGATTTAGCAATCCATAAGATAAGTATTCTTAAAACCATTTCAAAGATGAAGAAACAGAGTTGAATTTGTTCCGGATCTAACAGCTAACTCCAGAGCTGGCTCCTGTAAGATTTCTGATTTCTTTTTTTTCTTTTTTTTTAAGTTGCAAATGATAAAGTTTCAGGTATTTCATTAAAAGATTTTAACAAAGCAAAAGTTTAAAATTCTCACATAAATATAATATGAACTTGCTAAGTGTCTGCCTATGTTTGTATGAGGCGAAGAAGAAAAAGATTGAGTGGCTGGGCTCAGTGGCTCATGCCTGTAATCCCAGCACTTTGGGAGGCCAAGGCTGGCAGATCACTTGAGGCCAGGAGTTTTTGCCAACATGGTGAAACCCCATCTCTACTAAAAATACAAAAGTAAGCTGGGTGTGGTGGCACGTGCCTATAATTCCAGGTGGTTGGGAGGCTGAGAGACAGAATTGCTTGAACCTGGGAAGTAGAGGTTGTAGTGAGGTGAGATCACACCACTGCACATAGCCTGGGTGACAAAGCAAGACTTTTACTCCAAAAAAAAAAAAGGAAAAGACCAGAGTAATAACTTTATGGCAATTTGATTTATAAAAACTTTGGGCCCGGAATGGTGGCTCATGCCTGTAATCCTAGCACTCCAGCAGGCTGAGGCAGGCAGATCACTTGAGCCAGTTGTTCAAGACCAGCCTAAGCAACATGACAAATCCCATGTCTACAAAAAATACAAAACTTTTTATTTTAATACCTAGCCACATTTTCCTTTTTACTGTTATTTGTTCTTCTTTTCCTAATACCTGCAATAGTGCTAATGTATTTAACTAGAACTACGTCTTTCATTCTGAAGTTACTTTTCTTTAAAAAGCATGGTACAATTTTCATTTTCGTTTTTATTTACTAGGCCCTAAAGGCCTTTGTTACTTGTGGCTTTACATTATTGATAACTCTGAAATATTTTAGGATTTTATTACCCAATTCATAGAGACCAGACCTTTCTCTCTTTTTTTCTCTTTTACTGTTTTCTTTATTCATCTGCAAAAAAAAAAAAAAAAAAAAAAAAAATTAGCACTTCAAAGCATGGGCCAAGGAGAGGAGGTGAAACAGACTAGTTTATTACTTAATTTTTAGAAATTTTTATTTCATTTAATAGAAAAACTACAAAATTCGCAATTATTCCAGTGAGATTTGGGCATTATTTAGGGCATCTACTTTTTTCAGTTCAGTTGATTTGCACTAACTTCTGAAAAGAATTTGAGGTGAGTTCAATAAGGTACAGCTGCAGTAAGATAAATTTTAAAACAAAATAAGAAAAAGTAAGAAAGCAAATCTCCCAACTCTAAAGGCCAGTGCTATTGCTATGATGGACCAGTAGCCCCTGAGCTCCTTGTTGGGTGAGATGGAGCTGGAGGCAGGATATAATTTACTTGTTCTAACCTAGTGATTGTTACTTGTTCTAATGTAGTGATTGCATGTCAGATTTTTTTTTTTTTTCTTTGTGAGATGGAGTCTTGCTTTATTGCTAGGCTGGAGTGTAATGGTGTGATCTCAGCTCACTGCAATCTCCACCTTCTGGGTTCAAGTGATTCTCTTGCCTCAGCCTCCCGAGTAGCTGGGACTACAGGCGCGCACCATGACGCCCAGCTAATTTTTTGCATTTTTAGTAGAGATGAGATTTCACCATGTTGGCCAGGATTGTCTCGATCTCTTGACCTTGTGATCTGCCCACCTTGGCCTCCCAAAGTGCTGGGATTACAGGTGTGAGCTACCGGCCATTATTCTTTTACAGTTCAGTTCAGAGAGAGAGAGTATGTGTATGATTTCAAATATATGGAGATAATATTTGTTAAATGTACCTGTAAGTCTTCTATTAATTGTCATTTAGGTTGTCATTTGTAAGACTGTAACATACTTAACCATCACTTATTTTTGAAATCTATAGCATTTTTTTCCTGAATGTTTTGTTTTTAAAAAATTCAGGTGTGTAATACATGTGTGTATATATATATATATATTTTAGGGGTGAAAGATTTGAAAGTTGAAGATGACGTCTCAGTGAAGGTGATACCTATTTTACCTGCCCTTAATTGTGCCCTGCTAGAAACAAAGAAATCACTTCCTGAAGAAAGAATCCATCCAAACACATTAGTAAAGCATCACTTTCAAGAACTCTACAAGGCGGACAGAAGCCCTTCATTGGCTGTTGCTCCTCACGAGAGAATGAAAGACCCTATATTCTTGGGGAAATTGCCCAGTGGTTTTGACTTGATTCCTCCAGCTGAAAAGTGCCCTTTAGAGTCTTTAACTGAGTTGCACTCTTATTTTGCAGACCCTAGTGCTTACATTTTGGAAGTGTCTACTGCTTTGGACTTGTTAGCAGAGCATCCTCAGTCACCTTCTGTTTCAGATGGAATTTGTGATGCTGGATTTTCTTTAGTAATGACTCCAGATCCTGAATTTCTTGACTCAGAGGCAGAAGTAAGAAAAGAAACTGAAACAAGAAAGAATTCTGAAGAAGTGTTGAAAGCAAAGAAGAGAGTTGTGGTTCCATTGAGTCCATCGTCAAATCTGAGAGTGCAGCCTAAAAGGAAGGCCAGCATGCCACATGTGGTGCAGAGTAAAAAGATGAACTTGTGCCGCCCCTTTCCCAAAAGAACTGCTCCCAGAGCAGACAACAGCTCGGACTCTCCAACAACGCTTAAGTTAGTTAAAGGACAGTTTCCTCAGAAAAGAAAAAGAGGTAAGCACTATTTATATGGGTTATTAGAATAGTTGTGGCCTGGCACGGTGGCTCATGCCTGTAATCCCAGCACTTTGGGAGGCCAAGGCAGGTGGACCACCTGAGGTCAGGAGCTCGAGACCAGCCTGACAAACATGGTGAAACCCTGTCTCTACTAAAAATACAAAATTAACTGGGCATGGTGGCATGTACCTGTTGTTCAGCTATTCTGGGTGGCTGAGGCACAAGAATTGCTCGAACCCAGGAGGCTGAGATTGCGCCATTCCTCTCCAGCCTGGGCGACAAGAGCAAACCTCTGTCTCAAAATAATAATAATAATAATAATAATAATAATAATAATAATAATAATGGTTGTTGTGTTCGATCCCTGTTACTTTCTTGGTCTCTGTGGACTGCAGTTTCACAGCATTAGTTAGAAGATTTAGAATCGTCATCATTTCTCTCCAGGTGATTTGTGTGCCTCCTAATGCCTAACAAGCACTGATTGAGATAGCAGCTGAAAACCAAGAAACAGGAAAGACTAAGATACCTCAAAAGCCTACCCACCACCATGTTATGTTCTACTTGTAAAACCACTCACATGTTTATATTTCATTCTAAGAAAGATGATTGTCTAGTTTCTGTGCCATCCTCTTCACAAGTGGAAGTAGAAGAGGATCTTCTAAAATCAGGCACATCAATACCAGCAAAAGGTGGTAGCTGATAGCCCAAACACTTTTAAAGAGGAGGGAAATGCCTGGGACCTCCAAAAGTAAAATAGTCTGGGGGCAGAGTTTCTATTCCTTTATGTGTATCACAGGTTTTTACGTGAGCACCTGAATTCTTCATGTGGTTTTGATGCTCCCTGAAAATTGAGAATTAGTCTTGAGCCACTTAGTGGGAAATGTATTTTAGTGAACATAGCACAGCAAACCATATGACTTTGGCTTAAAATCATCTCAAATTGTGTTTTGCTGTATTTTCTCTAAAAGAGTAAGGAAATATATGGGTGACCCCTTTAGAGAAGAAGGCAGCATAATATGGCTGAGGGACCAATTTACTTGTACCTGTGTCATCTCTGGCTGCCCTCATGTTCTGTTGGCAGAGCTGAGCAGCTGTGACTAAAGCCACGTGGCTTTCAAAGCTGAAAGTATGTACCGTATGGCCCCTCACGGAAAACGTTTGCCAAGCCAATCTGTAATATTTTGAATTTGAAAATGTTGGTGCCCAAAGAAGAAACATCTAGGATATGGTAATCCCCAGGATTCTAAGTAATTCAGGGTTTACCCTATGGAGGTTTTTATTTGTTTGTTTGGGGTTTTCTGTGTTTGTTTAGAAACAGGGTCTCTCTCTCTCTCTCTCTCTTACCCAGGCTGGAATTGAGTGACATGATGATGTCTCACTACAGTCTCAAACTCGTAGGCTCAAGTGATCTTCCTGCCTCAGCCTCTGGAGTAGCTGGGACTACAGCAGCACCCCACTAATTAAAAAAAATTTTTTTTGTAGAGTTGGGGTCTCACTATGTTTCCCAGGCTAGACTACTGGCCTCAATCGATGCTCCTGCCTTAGCCTCCCAAAGTGTTGGGATTACAGGCATGAGCGACTACACTCAGCCTTGGTTTTATTCTGTGACTTCACAAATAGTGGTTTCTGTCTTATTGAGGAATGAGGCGGGGATGTGTATATTTAGGATGATAAGTGGAAAGTTATGGTGATATAAAACAGTGCACCAAACTATACAAGTATCTGTAGATTCCAGGCCAACCATACTGTTCTATGTGAACCAATTTAAGGTAGTGAATCAGTTATCTGTAACTCAACATACATTGTTACTGTTTCTCAAATGTTTTTAATTATATCCACTGTAAGAAATATGGATATTATATTCCAGTACCTACAAATTCATACATGACTGAAACAAAAATTTCAAAAGAAAAGATTATGTGTAAATACAGTCTGATACCTTCTATTCTGTTTCATTTAAGAAAGAATTCTGGGCCGGGTGTGGTGGCTTATGCCTGTAATCCCAACACTGTGGGAGGCTGAAGCAGGTGGATTACTTGAGGGCAGGAGTTCAAGACCGGTCTGGCCAACATGGCAAAACCCCATCTCTACTAAAAGTACAAAAATTAGCCAGGTGTGGTGGCACATGCCTGTAATTCCAGCTACTTGGGAGGCTGAGACATGAGAACCACTTGAACCTGGGAGGCAGAGGTTACAGTTAGCCAAGATCGTGCCAGTGCACACCAGCCTGGGTGACAGAGCAAGACTCCGTCTCAAAAAAA